TGTTGTATACATTACTTACAAACAAATTTTAACTATCGTGAAGCGGCTGAGCCACACTTCCTCCGTATACCTATGTGTGTCACCTGTCCTCTCTCACACTGGCACTCTAATGAAGCTGATGTGCCTGCTCTCACGTATCGCTGATCCTGAGACAAACTCCCATTCCTGGAAGTGTTTATTCCTGGCATTACAGCCAGCCCAGTATCACCTTAATATCACCATTTCACCATCACTATCACCACACTAATTCATCATCACTACTCACCCACCACCACCCATCATCACCATCACGTCCATCCCCCAAAACACGAGGCTTGTTTATATCTATTCGGAGTGACTTTCTGGTAAACTATAGTGCAAGGGAGGGAGTCTGAAGAGGGATGGGAGGAAGGGAAGGAGGCGAAGGGAAGGAAGGGAAGGAGGTGAGGTGAGGAGAAGGAGGGGCGTGCCACAGGGACTTATAATTCAGTATAGTGTTAGGAGGAGACGGGAGGGAAGGAAGAGGGGAAAGGAACAGAAGGGAAGGGAGGTGAGGAGGCGGAGGTGGATTAAATGAGTTTCGTGGACCTTGACAGCAAATTTCAATCTCGTGTTGCAGGGATGTGTGAACAAAAAAATCCGGCATTACGTCAGGGGAGAGTTAAAGAACCAAAATATAACAGAAAAATTGACAGCGTGTTTTGATGTTGTGAAGAAAATAAATTTGTCTCTCCGTGATAACAAGATTATTATTATTTTTTTTTGTCATTTTGTGTGTACAAATAGATCTATTAACTAGATCTACCTAACCTGGGTGATTTTGTTTTATACGTATATATTTTTCAGTATTGGCTAACCTAACCTACAATCTAACCTAACCTAACCAAACCAAAACAAACCAAGCCAAACAAAACCACACCACACCACACCACACTACACTACACTACACTACACTACACCACACCACACCACACCACACCACACCACACCAAACCAAACTTTTTTATCAACTTATTCCTACACTCAGAGTTTGCTCAAAGACAACATTGAACTGACCCCACACAGAAAAACCTCACAACACAAAGGTGGGGGGAGGGGGGTCAACCGGTACCCAGGTGAGGACAATACCTGCCTGATTAGCCTTCATACTCACCTTTAATTGGGTAAAATCCCCTCTAAAACATCTGCCTAATGATCGCAGCCATTCACACTTTTAATCTTCTGAGGATGGTGACCTATTAAACCTTTGGTGACGATTGTTTAATCTGTGGAATTAGATGGTTTAATCCTCTGAGAACTGGTTTAATCCATGAATTTGATGGTTTAACCCTTTGAATTAGAAGGTATAACCCTTAAGGACAAATATATTGAATAGTTAACTCATCATCCTCCAAGGGTTAAATCATCATCCTCCAAGGGTTAAATCATCATCCTCCAAGGGTTAACTCATCATCCTCCAAGGGTTAACTCATCCTCCTCCAAGGGTTAAATCATCGTTCTCAAAGGGCTAATTCATCATCCTCAAAGGGTTAATTCATCATCGTCGAAAGGTCAAATCATCGTCCTTTAAAAAGTTAACTCTTCGAGAACAATGATTTAACCCCTTGGGGATGATGAATTAACCCTTCTAGAACGACGATTTAACCCCTTGGGGATGATGGTTTAACCCCTCGAGGATGATGATTTCACCCCCGAGGATGATGATTTAACCCTTCGAAAACGATGAATTAACCCTTCAAGGACGATAAATTAACCCTACGAGAACGATGATTTAATCCCTTGGGGATGATGATTTAACCCTTCGAGAACGATGAATTAACCCTACGAGAACGATGATTTAACCTTTCAAGGACGATAATTTAGCTATTCAAGGAAGACGACGAGTTAATACACCGTCCTCATTAAGGCACAAAAGACTCCCACTCTCGGCAGCATTACTGTATCAAGTCTTCCTTTCTTCTCTCCTCGGTGTAAAAGTTCACCTAATTGATTTAATTTTGGACTTTGGGGGCTCCTCTTTATCTCGTTGTATAATGGAGTAATTATGACTGTATTTTTAGGTGTGTGTGTGTGTGTGTGTGTGTGTGTGTGTTCTTGAAAGAAGTGAGTATAAGTGAAAGTAAACATAAGAGGCAAGTGCCAACAATAAACACACAGGTGCGCTTTACCTTTTCTCATACTAATTAACATCCAGGTAATGTTTTTAGAGAAGGGAAAATTAAGGGAAAAAAATGGCGAAACAATTAAAATAAATGAGAGGAAAAAGAGCTGGTAGACGTATGACCCAAGATGGTTGTGTCAGAAGAGAAAAATAAATAAATGACTGTCTGGCAACGTACCAATGTCCAGGGCTGTGTAAAGGGTTCAGTTTCTATAGACAAATTGGGAGGCACTCTAGTCACTGTCCCACTCCAGTCCCTCGAGATAAAAATATGGAGAGAGAGAGAGAGAGAGAGAGAGAGAGGAGAGAGAAAGAGAGAGAGAGAGGAGAGAGAAAGGTAAAGACTGGTTGGCAATTAAAGAGAGAGAAACAGCTAGGGGGCATGGATTGTAAAATGAGAGAGAGAGAGAGAGAGAGAGAGGTGGGGGAGAGCATGGACTGGCTAATTAAAAGAGAAACAGTGAAAGCACGGGATTGGTAAAAATGAGAGAGAGAGAGAGAGAGAGAGAGGGGAGGTAGAGAGGTAGAGATATATGCAGATGCCGATAGAAAGGCACACACACACACACACACACACACACACACACACACACACACACACACACACACACACAGCCACACACACACACTGCAATATATGAGATTAAAAGAACCATTTATGAGACACAGGATATAAAAGTCTCTGCATATGGCCCCGAGGTAAAATTGAGGGGGAGGGGGGGGGGGTCTTATATGATGGCGTTAATGATATAATTATAAAGAATAACTGAAGCAATAAGCAATTATGTGATGATCCTGGAAGGGGAAGGAAGGTGGAGACAGAATCAAGTTTATTGTGAGAATATTAACGGAATGCAGGACACGATGATGATGATGATAATAATAATAATAATAATAATAATAATAATAATAATAATAATAATAATAATAATAAAAAGTGGCAACAACAAACAAACAACAACAACGGCAACAACAATAACAACAAACAAATAAACAAACAAACAAGCAACAACAACAACAACAACAACAGTAGTGGTTGGGTTGCCAATTGTAGTCTGATGATTGCTGACACATAGTTGTAAATACAGTGTATGATTAAGGTGTTGAACCTGTCGCCAACACTGCACTCGCACTATGAGTTAACGCTCTGTATGATCCAGTGTCAAGGAATACCCAGAAAGATCGGGTAACTTGCTAATTGCACTGGCTAACCAATTATATCCGCCAGTCTATTAACATTCAAGTTCCCGATTGTTGCTGACCACACACACACACACACACACACACACACACACACACACACACACACACACACACACATTTATTAAGATAACTCATTGAGACAATAAATAAAAAAACAATATATTCTAGAATATTTCCCCAATGAGAAATATTAAAAAAACCAAAAACATTTAAATATCTTTCATGTAAAAGGAAAATGAATAAGACTGACAGACAATAAAACATCAACTGTCGCAATACACAATAATACAGAGAAATACTTATACACCTGTAACCACGATGTCCTGATTTTGTACAATTATTAAACGAAGAACTTTTACTTTTTCCTTTGTTGTATAGTTCCCAAAATGTAGTACAGGGGCTGAGGTTAACACACGTATGGCAGGAACAGATCATATTGCTACCAACAGCTTCAGCAAACATTAATATTTGCCTTTAATTATATGCAAAAAACAGCGAATTAGTCTGATTATATTATTTAACATTTATATTGATATCTTTTAATCCGCTCTAGAGAAGACATCAAGCTTGTGTATGTTTATTCCAGGTAGTTCAACTTTTTGGTCTGAAATTCATTGGATGGTTGGATGGTTGGTTGGATGGTTAAGGGTTGCAGTGGTAATTTGGTGATGTTTGTTACGAGGACTAAAGTAACTGTGTCACGCGAACTACATTGTCACCTGGTAATGTTTGTAAGACACCTGGTGATATGTGATTAAGGGGACCTGTAATGTACGAGTGATAAATAATGTTTATTTTCTTTTAGTGTTTTGCTTTTGTGTTTTTTCTACTGTTTATTGTTTTCCATTTTCATTTTGTGTGTGTGTGTGTGTGTGTGTGTGTGTGTGTGTGTGTGTGTGTGTGTGTGTGTGTGTGTGTGTGTGTGTGTGTGTGTGTGTGTGTGTGTGTACATGGTAACAGCAGGTAGAGGCACTGATCCCCCCCCCCACCACCTGAGCCATAAGTGTTATATCTTACTCCTCAGGTCTGAGAGTGAATTATGGGATCGACAACGACATGAAAAACCTCACAGTCTTGTTAATGTTAAACTATCTCTGTGTCCGTATGTGTGCATGAAAGCGAGAGCATACACCTGGAAGAAAATATATACGTGAAGAGAACGAAATATAGTAATAAAGTCACTGCAACAGAATGAAATAAGAAAGCTTTTTTTTTTTTCAAAGTAGAATTTCAAGAATGTGGCTCAGGTGCATAGTAAGAAAATACCGTATTGCCTCGGGTACGAACTAACAACACGGTCACGATTATATACCGACGTAATTACACTGCATCATGGTATTATTGCCGACAGGAACACATGTAATAGAGTTAATAGTAATGCACGATAGTTGTCCTTATGTCTGCTTGCGGTCGGGGGGAAACACAGAAGGGTCTTTAATTTTCCTCCCTGGCGAGATACGCAGGACGCATTTTCCCTAATTTCCTGCCATTGTCCCCAGATTGTAGGTAATATACCGGGTTATTTACCCTGGCACTATTGTCTATTGGGTTGACTCAGTGCCAGCTCGACGGGGAATTAGGTCAAGTAATAGTGGCACAGAAGAAGGCGTGAGGGCAGTCATCACAAACACACCACTCAGGTCATTGCACTACTCAC